CTGATAGGGGCTAGGTAAGCAAATAGTTATCTTTTTTCTTTTTTTTTTTAAGAACTTAACAGCCTTGCTACTAAAATTATCCACCACTTTGTTCCCTCAAGGGAGCATTGCTTTCATCACAGTTTTCATGTAGAAGTTCCCACATAGCTGAGACAAGGCAGACGTAAGCAAAACTTTCTTGCTGGGGGTACCTCAGGGATTTCTTTTTCTGCCCTAAACCAATGGATCGAGGGAGGGGATTTGTCAGCAGAGTCTGGTTTTATGCAGCGTTTTATGCATGTTTAATAATGTTATTAGCAAGTTGTTGGGTTTGTGTTTGGTTTTGTTGTGGTTTGTTTGTTTTTTTTTTTTACAAAACCCCAAGTACCTAAAGTTATGTGCTATCTTCTGTTGTAATAGGTGTCTTTTATTTGTGATAGGTTACAGGTGGCTAGGGTGCCATTTTATTAGGCATTTGGAAATGTGTTGTAGGCTGGCATAGTTTTTAACTACAAGGGCCTTGGGGTAAAATCATGCTGCATAAACTGAATGTGGTGTTGATCCTTTTCCTCTGTCAGAATTCATTTCTGCATTAGTAAGTCAACAGGAAGAAATATGTATCAATGCATCAGTTGCCTGTGTGTCATAGCCCAAATCCATCTTCATTAGCCTCTGAAGCATCAAACTTAGTCACTACTACATTTTGTACTTGGAGCAAGTCACTCTTATGGGTGCAGGGGATCCTGTAAGGACCAAGGAAGGCGTTCTCAATTTTGTAGCTGTTCCCCATGGTCCCTCAGATAATAGGGAAATGGAGATGCTGAAATGGTTATAATACCTGTAAGCTTGAAAGCCCCTTTGGAAGCCCCTCCAGTCAGGTGTATTTTTGTGTGTTAGATAATTCTTATCTGTTTTCAAATGCCAATTGAAGTAGTTTAGCAATTAAAGGCAATTGATCAAACAGAATGTTTAAAAGGGCAGGAATCTTTTCTTGGTGGCTTAAAACAGTGAAAGGGAGTGAAGTGGTATTTAACTAAGCTGCCATGTAAGTGTTGTGTTCTGTTGGCAACAGTCTTGGGCATGTATGAAAAGTACTCATGGTACTAACTATCATCCTCTTTTTGTGGCTACATGTGTACTGTTACGTAGTATTTGTGGTAGGCTTTAAGTGGATGGGATTTGAGGAATGGAGCTGTTTCTCTTGCAGGACAAAGTAGTAGCCTGTATAAACCCCAGAAGGCAAATTGCTGAGCTAAGGAACAGCTTGTGTTAGAGTTTTTTTTTTTTCCTACTTTTTTTTTTTTTTTTTGTTCACACCCTTTAGTACAAAGCGTCTTTAACTGTAGACAGATGTCATCATGTATAGCTTCCGTGTACGCCCAGAGAGTCCAAGGTGTAGTCAAGTGGCAGGATGTAGCCAGGAGGAAATATGTACCAGAGGTGGGCTGTGGGCTTGGTTCAGAAGTGGTGCCCTCCTGCAGAATACTTCTGGTTTGGTTGGGTGTTTTGTGCCTGTGCTGAAGAACAAGGAAGAATGGTCCAGCTGAGCCTTCAGGTGGTGCTGTGTTTTTTCTCCAGCCACTGGGCTCCTGGCTGGTGAGCCTGGCGTGTATGAGAACAGAGCTGTCCTGCCAGCTGAGCACTATCCAGGACTCCTCTGTAAAGAGCATCCCAGCCCACTGTGATACATACCATCTTGACTGTCATAAACTCTGACCCTTTTTCTTCAGTAGTGTTATCCATGTAGTTGAGGTGGCCGTGTACATCTGTATAATCTTGTGTTTTCAATATGAGCTACCTGCAGACTTGTCAACTAATGTATGTGCCGTCTTGTGGCAGGTGATCAAGTTACATCAAATTTCTCTAAAAAAAAAAAAACCAAAAAACCCCCCAAAACCAAACCCTGAAGTGGGGAAAATCCTGTAATTTTAAGATTATAGAGATGTTTTAGCTTGCAGTTTTTCTTCGGAAGTGTTTTAGAATAGTGAGCACACATTGAGTTAGAGGTGGAAATGGATGAAGATTAAGGTCTCGCAAGTAAAACATCCATCATGTTGCATAGTGGCGTTTGGAGCTGTGAAGGATGGAACATGCAGATTGCAAAACTTGTGAGCAAGCACTCTGTCATAAATGGCTCAAGAAAAAACAGAATGCCAATATATGAAGGAAATCAAACTAATTAAAACCACCCAGGCTGTTTGTATTTTGTTCATTTTGCAAAGTGAATGTTAATGGTTGGTGCTGTAAAAATAATGTGGTATAGAATATGCACTCCAAAAGTCCTTTTGTTGACCCTTGTCTGTATGAGCTAGAAATCCTGATTTTTTGATTTTTCACACCTGGAAGAGAATATTCCAACACCTGCCTGTAATTGTGGGTGTATGCATTCCTAATGCAGAAGGTATGCACTGCATAGGAAGGTGATTAAGTTAAGGGGGGGACGACACCCAACACATGCATATATGGAAGAAGACTCAGCCTCATTGTTTTAGTTTAGATTAGGCTGAAATTTCTAAACATGAATAAACAGAGCAGCTGGCAAAATGCAGGTTCATGCCTGGAGCCTTCCAGGCTTCTTTTCACTCAGTGCTCATCTGCTTGTGCAAGCGCAGCTCCATCCTCCCGCCGCCCTGCGAGGAGGAAGGAGCAGCCCTTGCTGCCGAGGTGCTTCCAGCTCTCCGTAAGCGTGCGGGAGACGGCATTCCCAGGGCCGGCTTGCTGCAGCTGAGGAGACAGCACTCATAGACCCCTTTTGATTAGGATGTGTCAGTGTTGTCAGGGCAACTGTTAACAGCGGCGTATCATATTTTCTCCTCTTGTGTTGCATGGTGAATATTTTAGCGTGCTGTAGCTGGAAGAGGGTTGCAGGGAAAAAGGTGCTGCAGCAAGGAACCCAGAGCTGTGGGCTGGGATCTGATTGAACAGGTTAAGACGGCGAAGAGCAGCATCCAAACCAATGTGCCTTTAATCAGGGCTTTTCTCAAAGGTGGGGAAAGACTGCAAGCCTTTCGCTGCCGAGTGGATGTTGGTATTTGTCGGCTGTTTGCATACTGCTTATCCATAGGGGATCTATTACAAGTGCTCAAATGAACAGGCAGCGTTGCAGCTAGCTGCTAAGCAGGGGCTGCAGTTCCTTACTTTTTTTAAATAAGCAAGAGGCAACAACAACATGCCTGGTTCAACTACTGCCCTCCGACAAGAGAGATTGAAGAAGACAAGTGCCAGGCCAAATCCCCTGGGTTTATTCACCATTAACGAAGAGGATGAGCAGCAAAAGAACGGGAATTCCAAAACACTGAAAGGTATGTCGCGGTTCTGCAGCGCGATTGGGGCTGTGCATGGAATATACAGCACAGCAGGCACAATGTTTTATTAGCTCTCCTGTGTGCTCTGGAGAGTCTGTAAGTGACTGGTGCAGTTTGGCAATGTGTACTGGCACCCACAAATGTGCCGTGCATGATCGGTGTCTGTACCTAAATGCCCTGGATTGTTATGCAATCGTCTGCTTAGGATATGAAGTAAAAAAAATACTTCTTGGTTATTAACCTATTTTTTTCCAGAAGTGATAAGGGTCCTGCATCAGCAATATATTGGTAAATTTGTGTGTTTTGTTTGATTTCTGTGCACAGTCTGTACAAATACCTATTAAAAAAAAAAGTGATTGTAGGCTTGGAAAATAGAGAATGCAGTACCAGCCTGTTATAGAAGACAGCTTTGCCAAAGACAACGTAAAATTAGCTATACTTCCATTCCTGTGCATAAGGGGCAGTATGCCTTTGGCAGAGTATAGGAAAAATACACATTGTTCAAATATGCTGACTTTAAGTCTGACAAAAAACCCCAAACAAACTAATTGTAATTGCTGAAGCAAAATACTTGTGGTGCTTAACGTAGGTGAGTGGTGGTGGCAGCAGGGGGATGCTGATAGCTGTTGATTTAGGACAGAGGTCTGTCAAGCCTGTGTAGCCACTGTGGGGCTTTTATCATGTAATTCATGTTTTCCACGTGGATCCTAGTGTTTAAATTCTGTTGGTCTGGCAGGGATCCCGCACCTTACAATTGTGACTGGAATTTTAAGAGCATTTTTATTCTTTTTTTTTTTTTTTTGATCAAGTGATTCCATTTATACGAGCACTCCTTTTTGTGGTCTTACGTGGGGGGAAAAATTGTATCATTTTTTGTTTACAAAACAAATATTAGTTTGTAGCCTCAAGACAGTGTTTCAAATTTCAGATGTTACCATTCTACCATGTAACGGGAGAGGCCACCAAGCATTTAAATAGCAAATTTATAGTATGTATATTAGAGCTGAATCATTTACAGCTAACTGGTTATTTTATTTTTCTTGAAGTAAAAGGGTAGCTTGGGTAGCTTGGTAGCTGTTAGAAACAAATTCAGAACTCAGGATTTTTTTGAGTTTGCAACTTGTACTTTTTTTTTCCTCAGAATAGTGAAGAACCTGTCAGACTTGAACATCATGATAAAATGTATATTGCTAGTCGTTAACTGCCTAATGTGTTTGGGTCTTGTGTACATAGTTACTTCTGTATATTTGAAACTGCCCATATAAAATGGGGATGCAAACTCTAGTGTGAGGTTATTGAGTTTTTAATGTTTTAAGAAGCGTATTACTTTCCTTTATCGTCTACTGGATGACTTCCAGAGTCAACAGTCCACAAATCTAAGAATCAATAATTTTCCTGGTTTTGTTCAGTGGCACTGATAGTTTCCCAGGGTAAAAGTTCTTGTTGACTTAGCTAGTGTTTTCTACTTGCAGCGGTTATACAGATGTGCTTATCCTTTGCCTCTTGTTGTAACTGAGGTTCCATTTTTTGATTATTCCTTTTTTTCTCTTGTTGCTGTGAAATGTTAAGTAGACAAAAGTGCACAGGAGCACAGACAGCAAACGAACAAGTGTATGTGGTTTTAATGTAAAAATTTGGTGGCTTACCTTGAATGCTGCTAGTGAGAAATAGCATAGGAGGCTGTACAAAGTATTTTGGATGTATACTTGTTTGGTTTTCTTTACTAAACGCTTAAAATGACTCATAGTGTCTCTAGAACACCATTTGCGTGCTGGTCCATGTAGTTATTTTCCCTTCTGTACATTTGAATATAAAACCGCAATCAGTGGTTAGGTGGGTTAGAGCTGGAATTGCCTGGTCACAAGGAATGCCTGTATTTAGGGTGGTGGTCTCCCTTCCCTACCTGGTACCAAGCAAGGTCACTCCAGCACAGCTCTGAGCAGAAACATAAGATATGTGATGGACCCATGTGAGGCTTTCTCAAGTCTTTATAGAGTCTGTTGTTACCTTACAGCGTTGGCTTCATCTTGGTTCTTTACCTGTCCTGTTTGGTCAACAAGCGGCTGCTGAGATTTTTCTTCCCCCCCCCCCCCCCCCCCCCACCCAACAACACCGTGCTGTTCTTTGGGGTGGGCTACATGTCATCTTCATCTGCAGTTTCTATAATCATGCTGGACATACAGCAGTTCAAAACCCAAGAGGTCTTTAGTGGATCTGATACTCCACAGTAATAAAGCAGCTTGTTCCTCCATTAAGGATATTTGAATATCATCACAAGTTTTAAAATAATCATCATTTTGGTAGTTCAGGTCTTCTCAGAATACTAAGGCTTGATTAGAGTTTGTATGAATGATTTTTGTCATCTGGAAAAAAAAATATTTATGTGGATCATGAAGTGGCTAATACTTGTGAGATTTTCTATAAACTGATTTCAATATCGGAGATTTCTTGTCTTTGGCTGTCTCTGTTGTATTCTGAGAAGTCTGGTAGGCAATGAGTTTGCTCCTCCAGAGTAAACAAATAATGAACTGAAAACTTTGTCAGATTAAAAAAAAAATCCTTGACAAGTGAACTTTGTAGCCACGTGCTCTTGATACTTCCTTTCCTTTGATGTTAATTGTGTTCACTGTTTTTTCACCAAATATTTTCACTTCCTTTCCTCCTTTCCACCCTGCCCCTTCCTCCCTAACAGCTAAATGCATGTTTTGGGAGGATGGAAAGGGGCAGCAATTGACTTCTGGATTCTGAATAATGTTGCTACTTGCCTCTGTGTATCAATTAGCTAACTAGTAGTTAGAAAGGTAAGAGAACTTTTTTGTTCAGTCCATGCCTGAGAATTTCCTACATGCCTGAATGTGAATTTCATATTGGCCTGTCTGTTAAGACATGTTTAATACTCTGCTAGATTTGGCAGGATTGCTGGCTGAAATTGTTGGTCACGATCGGGTGGGTGTATGTGGGGGGTGGGAGCATTCTCTTAGTGTTTTATAGTAGGGAACTAATTGTTCTTCTGCTAAATATGTTCCTTGGAAGCCCTGAAAGTTGTTGGTTGTTTTCACAGATAATGCTCTTCTTGGGAAACGAGTCTCATCTCCCTAGACATTCATGCGGGTTTGTCTTATTTTGGGTTTAGCTTTTTTCTGTTTTTTCTAATGGATTTGACAGTTTTCTTTAGCTTGGGGAGATGGGGGTCTATGGTTTGGGGGCTTGGGGGGTTTTGCTCAAGTTTTATTGCTTTCCGTTGTCATTTTGCCAAAATACTAGTTCAACCAAGCAAGCTTTGGTAAGATACTTGAAACTTAATTTGGTGAGCTCAAGTGCATGGATGACTAGAGATCTACAAAATCGCAGTTTAGGAAATGCAAATGTGGTGTCTCAGCCTGATTCTTTAAAGAGGTATTTTTATCACTGAATGTTAATGGAGGTAAAATTCATGTCATGTTTGTAATTGGAGAGCAGTGAGAATTGACACAGGTATCCAAGCTGTGTGGTACTTACAAAGACTTGTGATTACCCAGAAGACTTCAGGTAATAAATCTTGGTTACTGAATGTGAAATGAGGATGAACTTCTTACTGGGATCAGCATCTACCTAAAACCAATCTTGCAGGCATATCTGGTTTGATTCTGTGAAGCAGCCTCAGAAATCAGTGCACAGCAAAGTAATAGACTAGTGTTTCCAAAGGGATACTTTTGACAGCTTAACATTGGCACTTGCTTTTTCAATTGTTAAAGCTATGCTTCTGAATGCAGTATTGGCATTTAGAGCACACTTTTCACTCAGCGTTTTTTATTTCATAAACAGTCTTTCCGGAAAGATCTGGGTATATGGCTGCAAAAGCCTCACTTTTGCAGCCATCCTAAGTCTCCATATAAAGCAACATGCTTTTTAAATCTATTTCCCTTTCAAAACTTAGGACGTAATCATGCACGAAATACATCCTATATGTTTTATTTGGGCTACATATTGACATGCCGAGTGTGCTACTGTGGCAAGGACTGTGCTGTAAGCTCTTTGGGACAAGGCCTGCGTTTTTGCTGCATGGCTCTATTGCACCCACTGTTGCAGGGTCTTGAGGTCCAGCTGTTGTGCAGTAGAACAGTGCAAATAAAAACTACTTTGAGTTGCCTTTTTTACTATTATTAACAGCCTCTATTCTCCTCTCCTGTTATAACATACAAGAATTTTGCTACATAATGCACTCTTTGAACACAATTTGTACAGGTTTATAGAAGCTTATTTTGCACTTGAATTGTTCTTGGTTTTGGTCACCAGCTTTCCAGCAGTTCTACAACTATCTCCACAAAGAAACCAGACAAACCAGGCACAGAACCACACACTTAACAGCTTCAATGTTCCCTTAAAGCTTGTGTTGTAAAACAAATATTGTTTCTGTGACTGAAGATAGTGTGTGAATGTGGTTCACTATGTAAATCACCAAGATATGTCCATGTAGATTAGTGTTTAATTAAAGGTATCCATCCTGTGTGTCTGAACTTTGGCCTCAGCCGTTCTTTGAATTCAGGCATAAGCAATTCAATTCACCTTAGTATTTCCCTCCTCTGTCCTGTTGATTTTGCATGCCTCGGATGTAGTCTTAACTCTTACTCAATTTTATGAAATTTAAGTGATGCTTCCTATCCTTCCTCTTGTGCTGTGGGGAAACACCTTTACAGACTATTGATAATGGTGTGTTTCTAAAATTATCATTTGAAGAGCATAGAAAAGTAATGCTCATATTTCTGGATTATAAAGATGAATAATTAATAACTGACATAGCTACCTTTTGAGATTCATGGCAAATGAATGAGAAGACTAACAATGGAATCCTTCACCTGCCTGCTTATTTAAAACCTATCAAGGGAGTATACCCCTAATCTGCTGAGTGCTGCTGCTAATACAAGGCTAGACATATGTGCTCTAGGTCTCTGAACAGTAACACTGATTCTTTGTCATCCTGAAAACAAACAAGAGAAGGGCTTTTCCCAGTCCTTTGG